TTCTTTTAATGATGCATTCCATAATGTGCCGTGTATTGATGAATGTCTTCATTTTCTCACTGCTGCAATAGATAAATTATGTGCTATAGATTTCTTTCTGCATATGCGCTGTTCGGTTATATGGTGTCCTATCTGTATATTTGTGCAGGAAAATGTTTACAGGTTTAATACTCAGCCCAGATATTTAGAACGGATGGAAAGTTTAATTACATATGTTCTTCTGAATTCCCCAGTCTACACACCCCATGAAACAATTTCTATAGAGTTCCTAATCTGTCAGTTTTATTTTTTTGTAACTTGTTTTATGTATAACTGGAAACATTCCTGTTTCCTGCAGGAATACGGAAACTCCAGTGAACTGTGGGGAGGTAGTGTTGCCTTTTTTGATGATCAAGAAACTATAACATACCATGTAGGCTGGTGCAGATTTTCCTCAATTCAGTAGGTGGCGCTGTGCCGTTGTACAGATGAGTGGATTTTGGGTAATTTGTCCCCCTTATGGACTCTGTTGGGGTTTTAAAGGGAGCATCTGATTGGACGCTGGGACCACTGGTGATCTTTGGTGGCCATTTTGGGTGAGGCAACCTTTTTAAAGTGTTAATGGTTGTGGTATGATTTTTTTTTTTTTTTTTTTTAACTAATGGCTATGTACTTGCTCTGTGCAATGGAATTTCACAGAGCGCCCCTGGACCTCTTCTGGGGTCCAGCTGGCACTCCTGGCTAGTCCCGTCCACCAAGTGACCTCCATAGAAAGCCTTTCTATGGGGGCACTCATGAGGGCTTGTTCCAAAGTATCGCTGTCTGCGCCTATTGACAGCGGGACATGGTTACACTCCTACACCCACTCAACTTCCCTCATCACTGCCTTCGACAGAGGTGTGAGCCAATGGCTCCCACTGCCCCAGCAAAGTGTGAGTGGCTAGGAAGCGAGGGGAGAAAAGAGCTGCAGACATGCACATTGCTGGATTGAATGAGGGCTTGGGTAAGAATGAGGATTGAGGGCGGGGATATTGATGGCGAAACATATTTTTTGCCTTAATGCAAGGAGTAAATTAAGCTAAAAATGTTTAGGCTTTGTAACAACTTTTAAATAAGGGTTCCCATGTCATTTTTGGTACACATCTTCTGAAAGCATGGTAGGGAGTGGAACTCTTGTGAAGGACAGTAAATGGCTCAGGGTCAGGTTCTTGGTGAGGGATGACTTGGGGAATGCTCCATCATACACCCTCTGGTGAGCAATGTGGAGGCGCTGGCGCACGCTGCAGGACGCTCTTGCATACATCCAGAAGGATCACTGCCCTTGCCAACGGATGCCATCTTCTGGCAACATAGGCTGTGGAAATGTACATGCTCTGAAGGCTTAATTATACAGGATTTAGTGCCTACAGTTTGTGCAGTGCTTTACAATATAAAGGGACGGTTGCAATACAATAAAACACAAAAGGAGCAAGAGGGCCCTGCTCATAAGAGTTTACGGTGAACCACTGTGCAAGAGTTGTAATAAGACATTAGAACTATATACACGATGTGAGAACTTCCTCCCTAATACAAGGTACCCAACTTGGGCAACACCCACCAACAGGGGACTTGCCCAGTTAAGGCCTCATTCTCACAGGGCAGACTCTGTTTTGATCAGCAGGTGACTGTTCCGTGTCCAGTTTATGCAGAGTGGACATGGATACAGCCCACTCTGCTCTATGGGCAGCTGGTGTAAGCGGACTCTTTTGTCAGTTTACACTAGACTGCCCTCTTATATGGTTTTCCTAGACGAGATCATGTGTGTTTTTTTTTTTTTCAGACCAGATTGGATCAGTGGTAGGTGGGTGTAAACAGACAAGAGTCCATTTACACCCACCGGTTCATAGCGGTGAATGGTAAAAATATGAAAGTGCAGCGCTAACTTAAACAATGATTACACATAAGATAGATCCCATTTGAATGTGGATCAGCAAAAAAGACGGCGTCAGTTCATCAGATGTGCTAAATACGTATACAGTCTCCAACACTTGAAGAGCCAGGGATAGTAGATATCAGAAATGATAAAGAAAAGCCAAGTAATGCACTGACCAGATAGCGCAAGTTAAAGCGCATGGGACATTTAAGACCTGTCCCTGGTACTCAGCCACTGTATCACTGGAGCAAGGCGGTGTCATCTATAGGGTGACCACTAGATGTCATCTGTCCGGATGGAAGCTGTGTTCAGCCACTGTGTTGATGGATCAGGTGGGTGTTGTCTGTAGGGTGACCACTAGATGTCATCGGTTCCAGGGGAAACTGTATCACGGATCCAGGGACGTCACTGCAGATGTGTTCTTGTTAGGCACAATCCCAGGACCTACTGGATTTACAGGCTCCCCAGAAATAAAGAGCCCGTGGAAAAAGGCCTCAAATAGTGTGATAACGTTTATTTAAAATTGAACAATCAGAAAAGAACTTACTTAGCAAAGGTACAGCTGCTTATAAACGGCCAGACCGGAGGTACATGTACATAAGATAAACATAGCTTGGCACTTCCCTAACGCGTATCGTGTAAGTACACATGATGTGTACTTACACGATACGCGTTAGGGTAGTGCCAAGCTATGTTTATCTTATGTACATGTACCTCCGGTCTGGCCGTTTATAAGCAGCTGTACCTTTGCTAAGTAAGTTCTTTTCTGATTGTTCAATTTTAAATAAACGTTATCACACTATTTGAGGCCTTTTTCCACGGGCTCTTTATTTCTGGGGAGCCTGTAAATCCAGTAGGTCCTGGGATTGTGCCTAACAAGAACACATCTGCAGTGACGTCCCTGGATCCGTGATACAGTTTCCCTGGAACCGATGACATCTAGTGGTCACCCTACAGACAACACCCACCTGATCCATCAACACAGTGGCTGAACACAGCTTCCATCCGGACAGATGACATCTAGTGGTCACCCTATAGATGACACCGCCTTGCTCCAGTGATACAGTGGCTGAGTACCAGGGACAGGTCTTAAATGTCCCATGCGCTTTAACTTGCGCTATCTGGTCAGTGCATTACTTGGCTTTTCTTTATCATTTCTGATATCTACTATCCCTGGCTCTTCAAGTGTTGGAGACTGTATACGTATTTAGCACATCTGATGAACTGACGCCGTCTTTTTTGCTGATCCACATTCAAATGGGATCTATCTTATGTGTAATCATTGTTTAAGTTAGCGCTGCACTTTCATATTTTACCATTACTCTGGAGGTTCACGAGGTGCCTTTTGTGCCAGCAGCTACCCTATCTACATCCTCATACTGCGCTCGATTTTATATATATATTTATATATAAGTTTATTTTAACCATAGCGGTGAATGGATTGTCCAATAAAATCTGTCAGTTTCTCAGAATGGACACTGTGAAAGAGGCGTAAGGCCTGTGCGGAGGGGTGTCTTCACCTGTACAGGATGCAGAGGTGACCTATGTTGGCTGTCTCTTCATATCAATGGCCCCGAGCTACATCACAAATCTTGTCTCCAAATATCACCCAAACCATCCTCTCCACTCCTCCAAGACCTCCTGCTCTTACTCCCATTTCTCCTCTCATGCTAATCTCCAGGTCTTCTCCAGAACCTCTCCCATCCTCTGGAACGCTCTACCCCAATTTGTTCCACTATCTATCCACTTTTAGGTGTTCCCTGGAAGCCTATCCTACCTTCAGCTAATAACCAAATCTTCTATTTCTCCCATTTCATTCCGCACAGTAATTACTTTTTGTTCCACCAGCTTCTCCGTATTAGATTGTAAGTGCCCAGGAGCAGAGCTCCCCTGACCCGCTTGTATTGAATTGTTTGCTAAGTGCTTTACAATTTAAAAAGACCATAAAGCAAACTGTTGGCACTATATAAATCCTGTATTATAATAAAGTGGATGGTTGCAACCTATATTAAAGCGCATCCCTGTTCACCCATCAGGACTGATGTATAGATGAGAACTGAAAATGCTCAGGGATGCCCTTAGAGGGACATGCAGCCACTTGCCTGCCGATTTTTGAACAGGCTGCCAGCATGTGGCTGTATGGAACGCCTGCACGTGTTAATCGTGCACTTAAGATTAAGATCACTTTTTCAGTAGTTAAAGTCATTCTTCCTGGTAGGGAATCTCCCCTACAAAGTTTACCTCTTCAACAGTCTGTGTGTGTGTGTATATGTGTGTGTGTGTGTGTGTGTGTATGTGTATGTATGTATGTATGTATGTGTATGTATATATATATAATCTGAACTGTAATAAAGCAAGGGGTTTCATTAGGTATTTTTTGGCTATAAACTTTGGCACTTTTGCTATTTGAGTAGACTTCCATTCTCCGTTTCCACATATGTGCTCCCATATAATACATTTTGAGAGATCTAGAGTGGTGACCGTTATAATTAACAATTTTCTTTGTTTATGCTGTATGAATTATTTTTTTTTTATATATATTCCCATTCAGTATTTAATGGCGAAACAATTGACAGTAAATCACATCCAAGATGGTTTCCATTCTATGGCATACATGACTATGCCCATGACGGGCAGAGTGCCTGAAGTGCGGTGCATACCCGTGCAGGCAATCCCCTTGATATCTATTGGTCCCGGAGGCTGCACAGATAGTTGTAGCTTCCAATATGACATTGGTGCACGTGCATGGCTCCAAATGCATCCTGGCTGTTATGTACACCCTGTGTGAACGAGACCTTTGACATGACATGGTAGTTGGGTGATCTGTCCATCAAAATAAATTTAACTTTTTTTTCATAAACATGCACAATCTCCGACAAATATGCATGTATGATCTCTGAAGTGGTGGGAACTGCTAAAATGTATTCCGTCCAATTTGTGGTCTCTCCCACAAAAGTTGGCTGGTTTGAGGATTTCTGGTGTTATGCTACAGAAACAGTATTTTCTAATCTGATTGTAAAAGTAATTAGCTGGGTTGAGAAATGATCATCTTCTATGCGTGGGTAGCCCTGCATTAATTGATCTAATTGCATTTCCTTCCTCTTCAAAGCATCTACCGCGGGAACCTGGGAAGCTTAATGTTGGAAAACTTGGTTCTGAAAACTCCATTTCAGCTGAGGATTCGGAGCACTCCATCAATGAAAGTAAGTCATTCTGCATAATGACTAGTGTTTGCATGTTTTAATGCATAGATTTTGTAACATCCCTGGTCTGCCTGTCAGACTTCCCTAGTAATCCTGATTGAATTGAGGCTTCCAGATTCCAACTTGTAGCATCTGCCACCTTGTAGCGTGTATTTGATAAGTGAAGCTGTAAGAATGAACTGATCAGCCATAACTTTGACAGGTAAAGTGATTAACATTGATTATCTCGTTACAGTGGTTTTTGAAAGCCTTTGAGATAAATTAGGCTGCAAGTGAACATTTTGTCCCTGACGTGTTGAAAGCAGAAAAATGGGTATCAGTTTTTATGAGGCTTCGTAGCTGACAATCGGCCATGGTGCCAATGCTGACCTCTGTCCACAGCCAAGTGCCTACAATGGGCACATGAAATCAGAACTGGACCAGTGGGCAATGGAAGAAGGTTGCCTGGTCTGATGAATCGCGGTTTCTTTTGCATCATGTAGATGGGCAGTTGCGTGTGCATCTTTTACTTGGGGAACAGATCATCCCAGAATTCACTATGGGAAGAGTACAAGCCGGCGGAGGCATTGTATTGAATTGGGCAATGTTCTGCTGTGAAACCTTGGGTATTGCCATTCATGTGGTTCTTTAACCTCTTGCTGCTGGCATCTCCTGGCCCTTTAAGGGGTTTGACGCCAGGAGGCAGGGTGGTGATTAGGGTCACGTGACTGCTGTGATTGGCTGTCACATGATTGGAAAGCTCGCTACTTGCCATCAGGAGCTTTCTGTGAGGCACCAGTAACTATACAGGGAGCACGCAGAGTGTACGCTCTTAACCCATGTTTCAGTTGGGTTCAAAAATAGGCCTCTTGGCATGAAGGCCCAGCTGAACTAGGGATATAAAATGTTGAGTTTACGTATTCTGGTAAGTACCTGCCATGATAGTTCTTAACTTCTACCTCTTGATTGCATACCTTAGTCATGTGGATGATGCTCCCCTCATTGATTGAGGTGTACTGGAGTTGACTACAGTTGGGGCTGGTTTTTTTTTTTTTTTTTTTTGTGTGCTTTTGAGACGGCTCTGTTTTTTGTAAAGTACGGTTATAAAACTAATAAAAACTGACCACACTGGGTATGAGCACAGCATGGTTAGTTCTCTGGATGTGCTGGGAGCTAATCCAGTGATCGGGCATATGCTTGCATTCTCCCCCCCCCCCCCCCCTTGCACAGCTATTCATTTGGAAGCTATGTGATGCTTTCTCCTCTTCTACCTCATGCTGCAGCTGAAAAAAAAAATACAGAAGTGTTTTTGCTTTTCATTTATATTTTAAACTGAAACTGGGTTGTTTTACAAGGTGAGGGTTTACATATGCTAAAATGTGCCACCTACCTAAACATTGTTGGTGATAAAGTACATCCCTTCGTAGAAACTGTATCCCCGTGATGACAGTGGTGCTCTTTTAGCAGGACAATGTGCCCTGCCAAACTGCAAAAATTATTCAAGAATAGATTGTGGACCACGACGAGTCTTAGGTGTTGACTTGGCCTTTATATTCTCCATATTTCAATCTAATCGACCATCTGTGGGATATGCTGAAAGAAGTCATCCCCTTCATGGAGGCCCCACCTCACAATTTACAAGAATTAAAGGATATGCTGCTGAAAGCTTGGTGCCAGATACCGCAGGTGTTTTTTTTTTTTTTTTTTTTTTTTTTTTTTAAGGTCTAGTGGCATCCATGCCTAGACTTTGGCAAAAAGGGGACCTACTCCATATTAGATGGGTGGTCATAAAGTTTTATGGCTGATCAGTGTAAGTTACAAGACAGAGCGCCATCCATCTCTATCCCTCATCATTCTTGAGTTTGACTTATTGATTTTACTACTTGCGTGTGATTTTGTATAATCGAGGAGTTTGTTAGAGCCAGGGGATGAACGCAGAAGACCATTTTCAACTTGTGTTGTCTATCATAATCCAGGAAAAATTTACACATTGGGAATAGATACTAAAGCTGGGCATTGATGGACTGGAAATCTGCCTGATCAGCAGACTAGCAGAGTTTTGATTTGTGTGGCCATCCCTGTTTGACAGAAGTTGGTTTAGATCTACTTCCTCTGGTGGACATGCTCAAACATTTGTCGCTTAGCAGCTGCAGCCACTGATCATGTATTCTGATATCGGAGAATCCCACTGTCAGAATACAATGTCCTGGCAGAAGGGAGTCCTCAATCCCACGCTTTTTTATTTTTCTGTGTTCAGTCTGCTGGCTGAACAAAAAACTAGCATCAAACATTAACATTGCACCAGTGTAAACCCCAGAATATACATTATTATACAGGATTTATAAAGCGCTAATAGTTCGCTCAGCGCTGTACATTACAAAGGGGGACAGAACATGTGACAGAATAACAATACAATGCAAAACATGAGGGGATCGAGGGCCCTACTCTTTCAAGCTTACAATCTAGGAGGGAGGGGATGGTGGCACAGGAGGAGAAAGCTGTGGGGGATGGGGTGGTAGGAAGAGTGGAGGAGGTTGGCAAGTTTAGCGGGGGGTGGGGTAGGCTTCCCTGAAGAGGTAGGTTTTCAGGGTGCGCCTAAAGGAGAGTAGAGTAGGTGATCTGATGGGTTGGGTCAGGGAGTTTCAGAGGATGGGTGACACCCTGGAGAAGTCCTGGAGGCGGGCATGGGAGGAGACGACCAGGGAACTAGAGAGGTCTTGTGAGGAGCGGAGTGTGCGTGCTGGGTGGTACTTGGATATTAGGTCAATGATGTAGTTCGGGGCAGTATGGTTGGACGGCTTTGTACGTCAGTGTTAGGATTTTGAATTTGATCCGTTGTGCAATCGGAAGCCAGTGGAGGGATTGGCAGAGGGGGGTGGCGGAAATGGAGCGGTTGGAAAGGTGAATGAGTCTGGCAGCCGTATTCAGGATAAACTGAAGCGGGGATAGCCAGCGGCGAGGCAGGCCAGTGAGGAGGGAGTTGCAGTAGTCGAGTCGTGATAGGATGAGGGAGTGGATGAGCTGTTTAGTGGTTTCTGGGGTTAGGAACGTGCGGATTTTGGCGATGTTGCGGAGGTGGAGTCTGCCTGAGCTTGTTAAAGATTGGACTTGGGGCTGGAAGGATAGGTTGGAGTCCAGAATGACACAAAGTACTCTGGCCTGCGGGGCGGGTTTGATGGTGGCGTTGTTGGATGTGATGGAGAAGTCAATGGGGGGTGGTGTCCGGGCTGGGGGGAAGACAAGAAACTCTCTTTTGGAGAGGTTCAGTTTAAGGAAGTGGAGCAACATCCAGTCTGATATGTCGCTCAGTAGGTGTGTGATTCGGGCGGAGACTGAGGTGGTGAGGTGGGGGGTTGAGAGAGAGATTTGTGTCGTCAGCATATAGGTGGTAGTTGAAGCCGTGAGAGTGTATGAGTTGGCCAAGGGAGGAGGTGTAGATGGAGAAGAGAAGGGGCCCGAGGACGGAGCCTTGCGGGACCCCAATAGAGAGGGGGAGTGAGGGGGAGGTGATATCATTATAGGTAATGCTGAAAGAACGTTGTGGCAGGTAGGATGAGATCCAGGAGAGAGCAGAATCTGAGGCCAAGGGAGTGTAGTTTTTTTGAGGAGGGCGTGGTCGACTGTGTCTAAGGCCGCAGAGAGGTCAAGTAGGAGCACTGAATAGTGGCCAATAGCTTTGGCGGTTAGCAGGTCTTTGGAGAGTTTGAGTAAGGCAGTTTCAGTGGAGTGTAGGGGACGGAAGCCGGACTGTAGGGGATCGAGGAGGTGGTTGTTGAGGTGAGCGCTTAGGCGGGTGTAGACTTGTCGCTTGAGGAGTTTGGATGTAAATGGGAGCAGGGAGATGGGTCTGAGGTTATTTGGGTCATTGGGGTCCAGGGAGGGCTTTTTAAGTATGGGGGTGATGTGTGCATGTTTGAGAGGGGAGGGGAAAGTGCCGGAGGAGAGGGAGAGATTAAAGATGTGGGTGAGGGAGCGTACGATGGAGGGGGAGGAGGGAGGTCGTAGAAGTTGAGGGGATAGGGTTGAGGGGGCGAGTCGGGCATCAGAGAGGATCTTGGAGACTTCCTCGATGGTAGTAAGGTCAAAGGTTGGAGCGTTGGGGGGGCTTCAGTATGAGGAATGTGGGGTGGAAGTGGAGGTCAGAGCAGTGGTGGGGCCGTGGGAGAGGGGTGATGAGGGGGTAGCTGAGTGAGGGGCAACGGGGTTGGAGGGAGTTTGAGCAGTGACGAAGTCCCTGCGGGTTATGTCGAGGGAGAGGGGGGATGAGGGGGTAGCTGTGAGAAGGGAGGGGTTGAGAGGGCGTGTGAATTGCGGCGATGTCCTTTGCGAATTGTCAATCTTGTTTTTGAAGTGATTGGCAATCTCAAGGGCGGTGAGTGAGGTGCTGGGTGGAGGTGGGGGGTGGCGAGAGTAGAGAGTTGAAGGTGAAGAGTCGGTGAGGATTGGAGGAGAGGGCCTTGATGAGGGTCAGGAAGTAGGCTTGTTTGGCTGCGTGGAGGGAGGAGGTGTAGGTGTGGAAGGCAGATTTGTCGCGAGTGAAGGCTTGTTGGGATTTGGTTTTGCGCCATAGTCGCTCCAGGGCATGACTGTGTCGTTTGAGGGTTTTTGGTGTGATCAGTCTGCCAGGGCTGGAGCGGTCGGGGTCTGATGTTGCATGTGGTTAAAGGCGCTAGTGAGTCAAGGGCTGTTGACAGCGTGTTGTTGTAGGCCGTCATAGCCAAGTCGGGGCAGGACAGGGGGAGGATGCTGTCATGGAGTTGATCAGCTGCAGAGTGGAGGGGGGCAGGGTTAAGGTTGCGAAAGGTTACGGCTGGTAGTAGTGTGACATTTGGAGGGGTAGGCGTTGGAGGATGGAGAGAGAGAAGGTAATCAGGTTGTGGTCAGAGAGAGGGAAGGGGGTGTTAGTGAGGTTGGGAGCGCAGCGGTTGGAGAAGACAAGATCAAGGATATTACCGTTGGAGTGGGTGGTGGATTGTATGCACTGTGCAAGTGCAAAGGAGGAGGTTAAATGGAGGAGTTGGGATGTGGCCGGGTTGTCGAGGTTGACAGGGATGTTGAAATCCCCAAGGATGATGGTGGGTAGCTGAGAGGAGAGGAAGAAGGGTAGCAAGGAGACCAATCACCACCCAACTTTACGAAAAGTCATCCAGGAAGTGGGATATGGATCCAGGAGAGGCCGGTATATCACAGCAATCTTCAGGGGGGTTGGGGAGAATAGTCAGACGCAGTGGGCCTCGAAGGAGGGGGAAGGATAGAGGGGGGGGTTTGGGAGGACTTGGAAGGTGCTCTGCGGCGACAGGAACAGACCAACCCCACCACCTTTACGACCGTTGGGCCTGGGTGAGTGGGGTCCAGGTGAGAGACCTCCGTAGGATAGTGCAGCAGGGGAGGTAGTCGGTGGCCTGGATCCAGGTTTCCGTAATCGCTATGAGGTTGAGGAAACGGGAAACAAAGAGGTCGGATGGCGGTTAGCTTGTTGCACACCGATCGGGCGTTCAGGAGTGCACATGAAAACGGGGAGATTTTAGGGAGCAGGGGGACAGATACTAAGTTGCGGGGGGTTGCGACAGGACGTGGAGGTGGGAGGGTGTTGTGTGGGGTGGGGGAGGTGGTGGAGGGCCAGGATTCGGGAAGATGTCCCCCGCGGTTAGGAGAAGGAGAAGGGTGAGAAAGGTGGCATGGGAGCGTGATGTGCAGGAGCGTGAGAAACTACTAGAGGTGTTCGGGGAGAGTGGAGTAATAGGAGGAGGTGGTGGGTGCCGTAGAGGGGTGAAGGAAGCAGTAAGGACACAATATACAATTGTTTGGGAGGAGCAGAGGGATATAGTGAATGGATTTTGGGAACGGAGGAGAGGAAAATGAGGAGTGGAAGAGGCAATTTGGGGAGGGCGGATAGGAGTGGTGGGAGGCTTGGTTGTCGATAGTCCAGCGAGCAGAGGCGTATCTCGTCTGTCTTCTGGTGGCTGCCGTTTAGGGGAGCAGGGGGAGGGGGGGATCAGGTGTGGATGGACGGTTTCCAGGGGCGCTTGAGTGAAAGTCTGGGGTGCAGGGGGGTCTCTCGGTGTGGTGGCTTTAAACAAGGGTTCAAGTCTTTAGGTCAAGTTGAGCTGGGGGTTGGTTTGAGTGGAGGTGCTGAAGGCCCAGCGTCTGGAGGTGGAGTGGGCTAGGTGTTGGTTGTCGTACGTTTAGAACTGGCTGTCCATAACCAGGAGTTGGTTCCAATTTTACACCCTTTCCAACCCTTCTTTTAGAGGGCCTGATGTGCTGGCTTATAAGAATGTAAACTGGCATTTGTGCTGCATACTGACATAGAGGACATAAATCCATCTAGTTCAATCTATGTGGTGGGTATTTTTAATTTTTTTTATTTTTCTTTCTGGGGGTGCTATTAGCCTTGCTTTCGGGAGCGGGACCAGCTGAGATTTGATGTATGAGCAGGCTTCTTTTAAAGAAGTCGATCAACTTCATTACAACCAGGCTGCTAGATTTTTTATTTTTTTTTTTATTTTTTGCTCTTTTGGATGGGATTTATTCTAGGCAGCTATAGTTGCTAGCAGTAATCATTGTGCTCTGCCTGTCGAAGGCACTCTGCTGGCAGAACCCAATGGCGCTGCTAAGTTTAAAATATTTTACACTCCCTTTAAGCCAGAATATCTGCAGCAGTGTTTGGTAGTTGCCAGGCAAGAACTTTTAGACTTTTTAACTGTTAAGCCTGTGTATGATCTTTGTTTGCATAGGGCCTTTACTTCTAAGAGGCCAGTGAAGCAGCTGCCTAAGGTGGTGCTGATGATGCTGGGGTGTACACATTGGTCTCTAGTGCTGTTACTTAAGGTACCCAGCCATTGTACATGTTACACAGGCTGTGCTTGTGAATATGCACCCTTGGCATCACTGAGCAAAGTGCTCAGTTAGTGTGCCACCCTCTGAGTAGACAGCTCTCCCTTACAAGTAGTGTTACCACCTCCCAAGGTGACCAGCTTAACAAAAACTGCTTTTTTCAATAATCTCCTTCCTGACTTGGTAATATCAGTTGGCAAAGGTCAGTACGGTTATTAGGATCAGTGCCAGGTAATCCCCAGGACTATTGTGTAAGTGGGTTCTAGTTTGTAGATGTACAGCTGCATTGTTAAACTTTTTCCAGCAGTAATCTGTTCCGTTTTTGTATTTTAGGTGGTTCTCCTGACAGCCCCAGTAAACTAACCTCTCAGAAAAGCCTTGAAATTTCCCATGTCCTGGAGACAACTTCTTCTTTAAAGGAAAGGATGGCCAAGTATCAAGCTGCTCTGACCAAGCAGTCCAAGCCTGTCTCACCCACGGTATGTCTTTGTCTGAAATATAGGATTAGGTGCTCCTAAAGAGGTGCTGGTTGGGCAGTGTGTAAATTAAACTAGTATAGGTTAATACTGTAATGTTTAAAGTAAGGAATTGAAATGAACAATTATACATCACTTCCTCTTCACACTTCTGCTTCTGGGTTATGGACTGGCTGGTGTGACTGAGAATCTCTGTAACTATAAAAAGTTGGGAGGTCCAGCTTGCAGCCCATGTTGGATCCACATCAGCCTTAAGCTGGCCATAGATGGATCGAATCTCGGCCAGTCTCTGCTGAGCCTGTTGAGATTCAGTTCATCAATGGGTAGGCTATAAGAAATAAGTGAGCGCTAAAACAATCACAAGCAGCCAAAGCACCAAAAAGGCAAACCAAAAAACCTCCAGAATAATCAAGAAAAAACAAATGTGTGCGGCGCTGGAATCCCTAAAGACAAAATTCAAATGTATGCATACACATAAATTGAACTAAACCCAAATGTGGAAAAAGTGACACTTTTTGTCGCTTTATATCCACATTTGGGTTTAGTGCAATTTATGTGTATGCATACATTTGAATTTTGTCTTTAGGGATCCAGTTCCGCACTCCTTTGTTTTTTCTTGATCAATGGGTAGGCTGATTGTACTCGAGCAAATCCATCGATTTTTAGACTTGGGTACATCCAGCATGTTAGATTTTTAGTATGCGATTGCCAGCGGCTATATCTGCTCGCAGTAACCACTGTGTTCTCTAGGCTGGGATGGCTCCCTGCACCCCCTCACCCTGTTGCCACAAATCAAATCGCATCTTTGGCCTGCTTTGGCAGTGAATTGCTCTTTGACCACTCTCCTTACTCCTAAATAGGGTTGACCAGAATACTACATGTCTTAGGCCTCAATCACACCAGCACTGTAAAACCTGCATTTGTTAGGACCTTTCTAAATGTAGGTAATAATTAAATTCCTCTACGCAGATTTGTTGTCTTGGTGGTCTCTGATCTCTGGGACATTGAGGCGTTACTGTAAATTTGGTTACACCCTGCATCTTTGTTTATGTGCAGTTGCTGAGTGAAAGTAAATCTATACAAATGTAGACCACCCCAACCTATAACTAGCCTTTGCAGCAAGGCGCACATGGAAGGGCAATGCACATCAAAAAAATGCTCAGCTCGCTTACCTGCCAGCCTGTAACAAAACCGAATTGACCCTGTATCAGTTCACATTAAAAACAAGAGATTTGGTTGCAAATGTGTGCAACTGCAACAAAATTGACCCTGTCCAACAGTTGACTTTAAAAACTAAGAGTTCAGACTGGCAGGTAAGTGAGCTGAGCATTTTTTTTTATGTGCATTACCTTTCCATGTGCTCCTTGTTGCAGCAAAGGTTTGTTTATAGGTTGGGGTGGTTGATATTTGTATAGATTTACTTTCACTTCTGTCCCATAGCCAAAACTGGAAGTGAGAGAAAATTCTGCAAATTAAAGGAATCCCTTAGGGGCCCTCAGGGTCACCAGAACTAGGGTTGGCATATTTCTCCTCTCCCCTTTCTGCGGACAACCCAAAATTTGGGATTTTCTGTTACTTTCACTTTTGTATTTCAATCATTTTTTTATTAATTTTAAGAACAGAAGAATAAACACTGGCAAAAATGCCCACGCAGGGGCTAGCAATGGTACATATGTTGAGAACAGTTAGAACGAAGGTCAAGCAAGAACCGACCTGACTAAAACCAGTTACAAACTGGAAAGGGAAGGAGAGAAAAAAATAAGGGTGGGTGGACGCCCATTTGCCAACAGGTGTAAAGGAAGCAGAAACTAAAACAGGGATTCGGGAGCGCCCAGACCACCCATCAATAAAAGCCCAAACTAACCGGGGAGATTGTGGGAAGACCATATGTGAGCCATGGTTTCCTGACTGAGAAATTTATGCTGGGGATCATTAGAAATGCTTGACATATGTTCATTGAGCATCAAGGCAGTCATGCGATCCTGCACCCCCTTTAGGAGAACTGACTCCTTACAGGTTTGGGCTATCGTTCTAGTAGCGGACAAAAACAGATAGGAGGCAAACTGCTGCTGGTGAGCAAATAAGCCCGGTATGGAGCAGAGCATACTGGGCCTCCCTGCTGATGGTCAGGTGAAATAGTGTACAGAAGGCCAAATACACGAGACCAAATCGGATTAATTTCGGGCATGACCACCATACATGTAAAACATCTCGATGACCACAGCCCCGATAGCAGCGATCGCTATGGGATGGGTTTGCCCGGGCAATGCGGGCCAGGACCTAGTACCAACGAGATCCTTATACGCTGCCTCTGTGATGGTATTAAATGAGCATTTAGCCACGAAAGACCAGGCCCTACTCCAGTCCTCCAAATCTATATTCGCCGCCAGATCCCACTCCCATTGCACAATGTATGAAAGATGGGTATGGGCAGGATGTCTATTCAAAGAGGCATAAAGGATAGAGATGAGACCCGGGGAATGGGGACAACGTTTGCAGATCTGCTCAAAAGCTGACTTCTAGAATAGATAGGTGGAAGTTTTACTTTCATTTTTTAGTGATAATAATAAACTGGACAAATAAGTTGAATCTCTCAAATGGGGGCATAGATGGCAATAAAAGCCTGACGGGTTCTAATCCAGGTGTACTACAAAAAATGAATACCTTTTTTTAAATTATGCTTTAAGAGGATAGACTGCCAAAAACCCACCCCAGAAAAATGCTTTCTTCATACCAGAAATGTCTGCTGCAAAAGAGCTTGCTATTTTATGAACATTGAACATTTATTACGTACATTAATCAGTGGCAGGTGTTGCTTCAAACTGACCTTTCCAGTCATTTGACAGTGGTGAGAGAAACATTTCACATGACATTGTATCTTCTAATGTTGGTTGCCTAGCTGTCTGATTTTATTGACCTGTGACAGGTATGCGGCCAATGGTCTGAACTCCCGATCTGCGTTTCCAGGTCTGTGATGCATTCAATCCAGAGGATGCTGGTCGTGGGATTTTTTTTTAGGAGGCCAGTAGTAGTGTCAGCTGATGTATGTCTCCTTGTACAAATTTCCTTTCAATTACCGGGTGGGATTGGCTAATCCGTGTGTGTGTTTTTATAAAGATGGGTAGAAAATTGTGCCAGTCGGGGACATTCACGGTTACACAGCTCTGTATAAATTCTTTAGTTGTGAGAGGACTTCTAGAAACCTGACACTACCTGATAAAGGATGGAATGGCTGAAACTATTTGTGGAATGAGAGCAGGACTTATTCACTCATGTGCTGGTGGTTTGTTTAGACTTGACTTTACAGAGTGAACTGTCCGGGGGAACACCAAGATAACCATTTTATCTGTAGCACCCTGTACAGAAGACTCTGGAATATCTGCTCTATTATATTCAATAAATCCAGTTTTAGTATATTGAAAATTTAACCTGTTGCATGCTTGAATGAAGTAGAATGCAAGCGGCAGGTCACATTTTTAAAGAAGTTCATTTTTGTTTTCTGAGGATCAACAGATTGCGGGTGCATACTCGGGTTCCCGCAGACTATCAGCATAGCGGTTTGCTCATACCTCCATAGAATCTATGAACTACAAGCCATCTGCCCCAATGGCTGATGGTACTTGTAGGCTGTTCATTAACAAACTGACTCAGCCATGTGGGCTGAGTCCTGTACAGCCACGCTGTTTTAAAATTGTGACAGTGGGTGTGGGGAGAAGATCACCCCCCCCCCACACCCCCCCCCATCCTGCTGTCACAGGGAGGGAGAAATCCAGGACACCATATCGCATCAATTTTGATGCTGCACACTTTTGCCAAATGGGGGATTTGTGAGGTGTCCATGTCATATTCATTATAATTGATATAAAACCACATTTATTGTCATAAACTAAACTATCTTTACTCCCTTTTTTAAAGGTTTTCAAAGAAGCCAAATGTTTAAAGAATATTTATCTACACATGCCATCTGCCTTCCAGCTCTTGATATTTAATCTAGGCCAGTGGTCGGCAAGAAGCGGCTCGCGAGCCACATGCGGCTCTTTACCCACTCTAATGCGGCTCTTCTGTGTGCCGGGCGCCTGCTCCCCTCCCTCCTCTCGGTCGGCCGCTCCCCTGCCTCCTCTCGGTTGGCAGCCCCAAAAGTCCGCGCGGACCTTTTAATCCGGCCCGCGGATGTGGCTGTCAGGATGTGTGTAGGCGGGGCAGCGTGCCGAACGTGAGGGGAGGGAGATAGGCTCCTCTCACAGTCCGCCCTGAAGACCCTAACGGCGCGGGAAGACAGCGAGAGGAACGCAAAAGGTAAGTGAATTGACACGGGGGACTTGGCTTACTAGAAGGGGGAATAGTATTGTGGGGGATGAAATACTATATGAGGGATGAATTACTATAGAGGGATGAATTACTTTATGAGGGATGAAATACTATATGGGGGATGAAATACTATATGGGGGGATGAAATACTATATGAGGGATGAAATACTATATGGGGGGATGAAATACTATATGAGGGATGAATTACTATATGGGGATGAATTACTATATGAGGGATGAAATACTATATGAGGGATGAATTACTATATGAGGGGATGAATTACTATATGGGGGATGAATTACTATATGGGGGATGAATTACTATATGGGGGATGAAATACTATATGAGGGATGAAATACTATATGGGGGGATGAAATACTATATGAGGGATGAAATACTATATGGGGGGATGAAATACTATATGAGGGATGAAATACTATATGGGGGGATGAAATACTATATGAGGGATGAAATACTATATGGGGGGATGAAATACTATATGAGGGGATGAAATACTATATGGGATGAAATACTATATGGGGGGATGAAATACTATATGAGGGATGAAATACTATATGAGGGATGAAATACTATATGAGGGATGAAATACTATATGAGGGATGAAATACTATATGAGGGATGAAATACTATATGGGGGGATGAAATACTATATGGGGGGATGAAATACTATATG